AAGAGAGAGATTATATGGTATTGATATATGTTATATATGTATATATGCTTATGTGTATTATTATACTATAAATGTTATGTAAGTATATTATATATATATATATTATAATTATATATATATATATATAAAACATAATAGTTTCAAACTGCAAAATTATAAAACACATTAAATTAGAAAATGTAAATTGTAACATAACTTATGTTAATTGGAAAGATTGTTTATACAGCCTGTGTACAGTATTGAATCTTTTATATTAATAATTTTATTTTACACTTGTCAGCCTACAGAGATGTGAGAAACACTTCCTACATGACTACTGAGGGACATTTACTATGTTTAAAGTGGTCCTATATATGTAATGGTATACATATACATATGTATGTATATATTCCCTTCAGTGTGGGCATAATATGAAGTGAATTAGGAGTGTTTTCCAATACACTATCGCATTCCTTTCAAGTGTTTTTTCAAAGTGTGAAAATAATGTCCACAGCCAAGCACACTTCAGTGACAGTGACACACTGTGGAAAAAGAATGCAGATATGCAAAGTATTGACTTTGCAGGGGCAAGAGTTATTTTTAACTGTAAGTGCATACCAGGAACAGCAACTGTGGCAAGCAACCGTTTCCCTTGGCAGAACTGATCTTCAATGCAAACCTTAAGATGAGTGCACGACTAATAAAAAAACCTTCACAACAAGTTTATTGCATAGGATTTTTATTCAATGTCACATCAGAATTTCTCAGATTTTGCAGACTTGAAAAAATAGTTTTCGCACAGTTAATCCAACAAAAGGTATAAATAAGAAGTGGAGGGGGGGAGTGAAGAAACAAATACCCGGGGTCACCTTCCACACACAGCAGCACACTGCAAGAGACCAAAATGCACACAATCAGCAATTCACATGACTACTACATCACACCTGACGCTGTATGCAAGTGAAAATCTGGAAGATATTTTATTTAAATTGAGCTGCCCTAAAAAGTGCTGCCCTGGCAAAAGGGGAAAGCCGTTAAACCCAGTATAAACAAGTAACGCTGATACCACAGTAAGGTCCGGCTTTTTCATGGTTCACAGAAAGGTCAGGTGCCCACTTTCACGCCACACTGACTCTATTCAAACATATATTGAGGCTGTCAAAGCACATTCAACTAGTGGCATGGAAACTCAGTGTGCACCCATCACATGCAAGATTCATTTCAACAGTATGAATAATAATATTGATAAATGTGTGTCACTCAAAGTTCTTGCAATTCTATATTTATATTAAAGCTCACAGAAACATGTTCTAGTGTGGTATTTAATCACTACAAATGACTCTAGTTCTCTAGAAAAATTAAAACACTGGGACTGTTTGAAGTGGTTTTATTCAATACTTACCACACAAGCACGCACAGAAGAACTAGTTAGACCTTGAATCCAAGTGCCCTCATGCAGTCTTTGTGTGCCTCAATAAGGTCCCTGCAGTTTTCCTCTCCCTTTTCAATGATGCTGGTGGAAACAAACATGATGGATGAATAAACATTCTCACTTAAAACGAGAAGACCATTTCAATTTCTCTGGCCAGCTCCTCACCAAGCATCCCTGACTTTTTTTGTTTCTGGACATGCGCAGCATGGCTTCAGTGGCTTCTTCTGCTCTGTGCTCTCAGTCACAGCTGCAGTCCCGACGCTGGCAGCAGACAGGGCTGACATCTTCTGACTGAAACAAGGAAATGAGCTGATGAGGACTGGCAAACTTTAACCACTGAGTAACATGCATGTATTTTCACTCAAGCTTCATTTAGATTTACACACGTCTTTATCAGCTGACAAACACTTTTCACAGGGATGCTGGAATATGCAACAGGAATTTTTCTTCACATGTCAAATAAAGAGGTGTGAACCGACTGTGATCCCATGAATTGCTTTAGCTTTGTTTTAATATTCAACGAAGGACAAATTGATATTTGACGACTAGAACACGGGATGAGGAAAGCAATGCCACTAAAATACTCCAAACACTCACGGTCCAACCAAAAAGCTCATAATGATACAAAATACAGTTAAATAAAAGAAAAGTGTGAGGATTCGCCAAAGTAAGCCACTATTTTATATTTTTTGGTGTCGCTTCATTATGACGTTTCATAAAACTGCTAATCAACTAATGAAACGTCCTACCATTACATTCATGCTGATGCTGAAGGGCGCTGAACTGATGCAATGACAAGGTAGTTATGTACTTATGATTAGGTCAACCGGCAAAGTCACCACATGCAACACACAACACATGACTCTGAAGCATCCGAGCCTTCAGAGTTGCTCATAATAATTTAAAACAAATAAACAACAAAAAACAAAACCCCACAAACCCTCTGTTTGCCTCAGTGTTGTGGTTTACTAGCTTTATCTAACCCTTGTTGCGTAATGTTACTGTCAGCTAACAAAGTTAGCTCACGGTGGCTAACAGAGATGACATAACTAATAACATACAAGCGTTTCGCCCAAACCTACTCAAGCCGTAATGTAGCAGTTAAGCCTCCTGCTCGTTATTAACGTAGCTAAGCTATATTGTGTAACGCTCTCTTACTTGTATGGGGAGGCCGACACTGCCGCCAGTACACAGACGATTCACCTTCAATATGGAACTAACATGCGGGAAACACGTGGTCGCCTGTCAAAGTCACGTGACAATGTCATGTGCCGTGTTAGAGACTTTTGGGAAATGTAGTACTGTATTACCACCAGGCAGACAGGTATGTGAATGTATGGTAAACTTGTTAGACGCATGCTGAAATTATTCTCAGTGCTGAATATTCAAGCATTAACTTATGTGTTGCTTATTTATTGATTGGTTTACCTTTATTAGCTAATTTGATTTTTTTTTTTACATTAACTTACATTTAAAATTGAAACCCTTAGCTAAAATAGCTTAAGACGATGCTAAGTTTAAGACTTCTTTTTTAGTTAGTTTGTTAGTTAGCTAGCCAGCTAGTTATCTGTCATATTCCCACACTGGGTCAGGCTATTTCAAATATTCTGTTTGAACTGAAAAGAGGGATCACAAATAGTTATGTCCAACTAATGTCCCCTTGATTGTTAAAAGTTTTTCACAGTTAAGGTTTAATTTGGCCAAACAACCAAAACAATTGTATTTCTTGTAATAGGTAGGGCATCGATATAGTCCTACACAATGTAGGACAATATAGTTGTCTAGACCCAAATATCACATTACAGATGTAACACCAAGAGAAATGTTGCTAAATAAATTATGAACTATATAACTATAACTGCCTATATTTCCACTAAAAAAATACACAAACACATAAAGTAAAGAAAGCGATAATATGAAAAATACATTATATATTTACATTTACTTAGACAGTATAAAGAAAACCTGCTTGGTATAGAGTACAGAATACATCTGAAAATGTTTCAAACTGTACCTAATCATTTCTTATTATTTTTATTAGTCCTTTATTTATCCAGGTAAAAAAATCTCATTGAGATTAAAAATCTCATTTCCAAGAGAGACCTGGCATCATGGCAACAAAAGTCACAAACCACATAGGTATTTAACATTTAATTTCTACAGGTGCTAATGCTAAATGTTCTTCTGTTTTCTGTATTGTAGACAGACAGAATTAGTACATTAGAAAAAATGTACAAAGGGCAGCTGACATTTATGATTCAGGATATCAGGTTCATCCACATGGTCGACATCACCAAGCATGAAGTTCTATTGCACCGTGCTATTAATGATATGTCAGTGCTGGATGATTGCAGATTATTGAGTCCAACCTCAAACATTTAACTTTCAAATGTTCACATTTGAGTAGCTGCAACCAGATTTTTTAAAAATATTTTTATCTTAAAAGTTAGAAATAATTTGTTGCAGCATCACGCTTCCTATAAAACCTACGCTTTAGTAATGATCAAGAACGTGTACACTCAGAAAATTAACATCAGCACTGCACAGATTTTATTTTTCTACACAACTCTGTAAGATATTCTGTTGTGTAAGACGCAGTTGCTGCTGGTGGGCGCAATATACACAATGTTGCCTCGGGAGTTTTGGAATATGAAAAATGTTCATTTTCGGACCTGCAGTACCGAAAGGTATGTGTGTGCTTCAACATGTCTACTGGGTCTATTGTGCGTCACCACAACAAAGCAATGCGTAAGCAGCGGCACAGAGTCACTTACTCTAGTTT